TTTCAGACGACACGTTAGGCAGTTTTTTGGCGCGGTTTTGGAACTAGGTCGTCCTTCAGGGGCATGGTGTTTTCCCTCCGGCAGCTGATTTTTTCGAAGCTGTTTTACTGCTAGCAGCGGATGAGCGCAACCCCTACCCTTCTCACAGATGGTCTTCAAAAAATGTTTTTTTGATCCCTAATTAATGTTTTTTTGATCTCTGCTATTTTTTTTTTGCTGCCTAATTTTTTTTTTGCTGCCTAAAAATGTTTTTTTTGATCCTTCTCCCTGTTTTTCTAGGAGTTCAGACGATAGGTTAGGCAGTTTTTACCCTGCTGCAGCTGCTGCTACAGCTCGTCCTTCAGGGGCATGGTCTTTTTTCCTGCCGGCAGCTGCTTTTTTTCGATTTGAGCTTCGCGCGAGGAACTGTTTTTTCGAGCAGCACAACAACAACAATAAGAATACTCAGACGACACGTCAGGCAGTTTTGGTACTTGCCCGCGGCAGGAGAAGCGGCAGCAGCAGCAGCCCGCGGTTTAGCGGCATGGTGTTTCTCATCGGCTGACGTGAGAGAGTTTTTGCGCGCGGTTTTAGCAGCAGCGGCAGCGGCAGCAGCAGCGGCAGCAGCAGCGGCAGCAGCAGCGGCAGCAAGCAATAAAATTTGTCGAAAAGAGACGTTAGGGACTTTGTGGCGCGGTTTGGGAATTATGTCGTCCTTCAAGGGCATGTTGTTTTTCCTCTGGCAGGTGATTTTTTTCGAGCCTGCTTTCCTGCTGACAGTTTTCATGCTGAGAGGTGAGGCAGACAAGAAAGCTGGAACTGGTCGTTTGTTATTACTTTGCATGCCATTCCGTTCGGCGGCACACGCGGCCATTGGATTGTTTGTGTTTGCTTTTGATGCGCCCAAATTCATCAGGTTCACCTCTTTTTTTGTCCGGGGTCGGCGGCAGGGGCGGCAGCCCTTAATTCGGCTCCGCCGGCTCCACACGAGTGGCTTGCCCCACGAGCGTCCCAGAGCGACTAGAGCTCTATGGTGAGGCGCGCCCCAAACCGCCGACCCTCCGACGCCGGGCCCCGAAAAACACCAAAAATCCTTCAGGAGGGTGGGGGAGAGCTTTTTGGCCGGAATCCGGGTCGCTCATAAGCGTCTCCAAGAGCATAATCCCCCCCCCGATTTTGAGGGTACCTAAAATCGGAAAAAAGTGCCGTTTTGACACATTTTTCGGACAATTTTCAACTTTTCGAAAGTCACAAAATGCTGTAAATTACAGCATTTTTGCGTTTTAACGTCTTTTGCGGGAGCCATGCAAAAACGCAGAAAATGCTGTAAATACCAATACGTTTTCAACCAGAGATGCACAAAACACTGCAAATACCAGTGTTTTTGAAAGCCAAGCAAAAAACATTGTAAATTACAGCATTTTTGGCGTGTTGATCGCAAAAAAATGCTGGTATTTACACGGTTTTTGCAATTTCAAGAAAACGTGGGAGGCACGAAACGCTGTAAATAGCGGTGTTTTTGCCACTTTTGGACGCTGAAACGCTGGTATTTACACAGTTTTTTGCCCGTGACGGCGCCAAACCCCTGTAAATTACAACATTTTCTGCACTTTTTGAACCGATTTTTTGCCTTGGTGAACGCAAAAAACGCTGGTATTTACGCGTTTCCCAAAAAATCGAAGATCGTGACGTGAACGGAACCCTGTAAATAACAGTGGTTTAGCCACATTCGGGGACTAAAACTGTGGTATTTACGCGGGTTCTTGCCAGCTGACAGCGCAAAATGCTGTAAATTACAGCACTTTGTGCGCTGATTATGTTCAATTTTTAAACGCGCGATGCTTTCACATGTTCTTTGCATTATTTTGCATCCTTCCACAAGAAACAACGTTGCAGATTGAAACTGGACGACAGCGTGACCCGAAAGAAAGCTGGAGGGAGGAGACGCACAGAAGCTTTTACCCACACACACAGGGGCTTTTACACAGAGAATTCTTTACACAAAGGAGCTTTTTACATACAGAAGGTTTTACACAGAGAAGTCTTTACTCTAAGGTGCTTTTGCAGACAAACGTCTAGGAGCTTTTACTCACAGAAGTTTTTACACGAAGAAGTCTTTACACAGAGGGCTTTTTACACACAGACGCGTTTGCACACAAGAAGCTTTTACACAGAGAAGCCTTTACACAGAGTAGCTTTTTACACACAGAAGGTTTTACACAGAGAAGTCTTTCCTCTGAGGAGCTTTTTCACACAACGTCTTGGAGCTTTTACACACAAAAGCTGTTACACAAAGAAGTCTTTACACAGAGAGCTTTAACACACAGACGCGTTTACACACAGAAACTTTTACACAGAGAAGCCTTTACACAGAGAGTTTTTACACACGGAAGCTTTTACACACAGAGCAATCTTTACACAGACGTGCTTTCACACAGAAGCTTTTACACAAAGAAGTCTTTACACAGAGAATCTTTTACACACGGAAACTTTTACACACAAAAGCTTTTACACAGAGAAGTCTTTGCGCAGAGGCGCCTTTACACGAAGTAACAAGTTGAAATTGGCAGCAGTTCTTTAGGAAAAACCCTTCGCAGGAGCTTTCGGGAACTCACTTGCTCTCCAAAAAATTGCCTATTCCAACAAATATGTTCCAAAAAACCTAAGGAATATATATTTCTGAAGCAGGTCCTCATTCAGTAACTTTCACGCCCACACTGCGATGAAATGGAGGGCCGAGTGGTCCGGCGGAGCCGACGATGAGCGTCAGCTCAAAAATCCGGCCAGGGGCCCCCTGGCCGTGGCATTGCCGAAGGCGTTTCTCTCCTCTCCGTAGGAGAGAGGGGCCGCCGCCCCCTGCCGCAGGCGACTCCCCCCCGCCAAAAAGTCCCGCGTTTTACGGTGTTTTGTGCTCTTCCCACTTTTTCCCATTTTTCGGATCTTGTGGCTCAAGATGGGTCAACATGGGCCAACATAGGCCTCAAGATGGGCCAACATAGCCCCCAAGATGGGCCAACATGGCCCCAAGATGGGCCAACATAGCCCCAAGATGGGCCAACATAGCCCCAAGATGGGCCAACATAGCCCCAAGATGGGCCAACATAGCCCCAACATGGGCCGACATAACCTCAAGCTGGGGCAACATAGCCCCCAAGATGGGCCAACATAGCCCCAAGATAGGCCGCCGACCATCAAAATATCCTGCGTTTTACAGTGTTTTTTTGCTGTTCCCATTTTTCGGATCTTTTGGCTCAACATGAATCAACCTGAGGCCAACATAGGCCAACATAGCCACAAGATGGGCCCACATTGCCCGCAAGATAGACCAACATAGGCCAACATAGGCCAACATAGCCACAAAATGGGCCACATAGTTGGGCCCCTGGCCGGCTGTCGCGCGTAAGCGCTTAAATAATCCCTATACTGGCGCTATATCAATAATCAGTATAATCCTCACAATCCCCAATATAGGTGGATAGTAGTATCCACAAACTAATCATCAACCAGGCGGGGTTTTGAACACTGCTCACACGTTTGGGTTTTGTTTTTTTAAAAAATGAGCCCAAAGTGGGATGGTTCGAATATAGGAAAGATTAATTAACAACATTTGGGAGTGGTGATCAAAGAATTCAAAGAGGAGAAAACTAAACCAACAAACTTTCAAACTAACATCATATTGCAGTTACAATCAAGATCCATCAGTCCTTTGGGTGTCCAAAAGGATAGAAAGAGTAATACTCGGCTGGAGATTTACTTGTCTGCCGTGACAAAACTCACTGTCACTGTGCCTCAGCAGACTGCAAGAAGTCGACCGCACTCTCCAACGCCTGACATGGACTGTGTGTGCCCAGCCACTTCAACCCTTGGTCGTCCCTTCACAAAAAGAACTGGTCAGGTGAACTCAGGTGTCCCAGAAATCATCATATTCCTCGTTGATGCCATTTTGCTGGGATTCCAGCGCATGTGGTCCCAAATCCTGTCCCATCGGTTTTGTATGTTTTTGTGAAAAGAATCCGTTCAAGTTGCTTCCATCACCCTCCTCATCCTAAGGTGGCCGGGTACATTTTCCATTGAACTCCCTGTCCATTTCCATCAATTTCCAGACTGCTCCATACAGCCAACATCAGCCAACCACCAACCCCCGCCGTGCCGGATCGTGCCGGCCTCTCTGAGGTCGGCCTCCAAAACCCCGAAGCCACCAATCAAGCTGTGCACGAAGGGTCTGGCCGCGCGATATGCCTGCAGCAGCTCCTCATCTGGGGCCGCCACCAATTGGGGCGGGGCAAGGGTCACCAAGAAGCCCCAGTAAGGTTTGAAAAAGCCAAAGACTTGCAAATCAAGAGATGAGCGATGAACTTATTGTGAATAGAACTGTTCCTTGGATCTACTTGTCGGACCCAACTTTTGCTTTGCTATCCTAGCCATCAAAAACCATCGAAATCATCAAACCCTCAATGTCTGCACCCCAGTCCTCCAGCAGGACCAAGGCGTCATGCGCAGTATCAGGAGGACACGCCCAAACGCAATGGGGTCCTGAAGCCTGTCATATGCAGCTTGGATATGCTTCACTTGAATTTCTAGCCTTCTGATCTTCATCCCAGTTCTCTGAAGCTGGTACCCCCCAAAAATCAGCAACCAATCCGGTGGTCTTCGGATTAAAATCAGCAAACCACCTGGGGAACTTTGTCATCTTCACCACCCAAAGCCCCAATGTTGTCGCCTGCGCCACTTGGAACGCCTTCGCAACTGCCGGGGTCGCGGTCTGGTCAGAGCCCACCAAGAGCAGTGGACCTGGAGGAAACGACCAATCTGCAAAAGGACCCGACAGGATGAGATCCAAGGATTGTTCTAGTAACATGATTCAAGACATTTCAAAACCTACAAGCACGGGGCTGCAAAGTCAAACCAAACTGAAGCAAAAGAGAGCCAAGAAAGAGTTACCTGGGAATTACAACCCGCTTTGCACAACTAGGTTGACTGACAATTCCATGATGAGTCTCATCCTTGATGATTTTTCTTCCTACATTTGCTACTCAATGTGATGATAAAACTAAGCTGTTCACCCAATGTCACCACCGCCCCTTCAGCTGAGGGGCGTTGAAGCTCCAAGATCTGAGCCAAGCACAGCGCCAAGGCGTAGCCTTGGGCACCGCGAGGCACCGCCAGAGATACGCCGTACGCCACGTCTGCAAGGGCCTTGAGACTTTGAAGGTGAACTTCGCTTGCAGAAGTGTCCTGCAAGTTTGTTTTGGTGGGGCAATCAGCAAGACAAACATGGAGATAGTTCATGAAAAACTATGAACTAACCAAACCATGTGAAAGTTTGGAGTGTCATTGAGTCGTAAACTGGATCGCTCTCATTTTCATCATGGTATGGGTAACGTTGTTGTTTTCAGAGTCACCGCACATGATAGTTTCTCCTTGCTTTCAAAACAATTCCGGAAAAATCTGCGCAATCGTGTAACTCTGGTTTCACTGTTGATGCTACAAAGGAGAGTCTTGCTCGAACCACCATGAACCACCTACCTGTTTTCAGCAAGTCCTTAGTATGCAATAACCACATCAAAGTGGACCTAAAACATGAACTTCTACTGATACTTACGTGCATCACAAATGATTGTGTTGCAATCAGGGGACGCTTTAAGGAAAAAAACTTCAGATACAAACACATCCACTGAGCATCTAGCTCCATGATGGTGTGCACACTCACTCACTAAACTAAATGAAGGACATCTCTCACCAAGTCGGCCTTTCAGATTTTCAAGTGCAATCTCCACAGCATGAGCCTTCAACACTGCAGAAAATAAACATTCAAACAAACAATACTGGGAAATACGGTTGAATAGCCACATAATTATACAAAACTGGTAGGTTTGGTTTTAGGCTCCTCGACTGCAAGGATGAAGTGCTTGTTCGCCAGCCACTGCGCAATCTTTTCGATCTGAGGAAGGGCATGCTTACCTCAACAAACTAGGCAACCTCAAACCCCAAACAATTGAACTGGCAATGACTCCTGTGTGTTTTACACTCCAAAATATGCATTGAACCTTGCAAATGCCAAGATAACCATAGGCAAAAGGGCAGGAAAGTGACACCGCTGGGTACCCAAGCAGCTATAAATCAGATCGAATGCGGTGAAGCTTGAAAGCTGAGGCTCAGCAGAAGTAGTTGCCGCCGCTACCCGGTCCTCGCTACCCGGTACCCCAAATTCATCGGAAAAATCAGGCCCATTGGGCTGTGAATTTGAATATCTTCAGATTCTCCGCCTGAAAAACTTTAGGTAATGGACAAAACGTCATATTGCTCCTAAACAATGCTTTGGCTACGCGACCTTTCTCTTACACCAACAGGGACGTCCTGGCCCAAAAAAACATTAAAAAACAACACCACTGGCAGCCAATTCCTGCACCAAGTCTCTGGGCAATCTGGTCATCTCACATCTGCTACTCTCCCAGGAAATTCGCAGCTGGCCATGACTTTGCAGCTGCACCAGCGCAAAGGCCTGCAAGTGCACCAAGGTTGGAGTCACTGGATGTCATTGGGTCATTCTGGACAGGGAGCTGAATCAAATCTGATCAAGAATATTCAAGAATTATCATATTTGATAAGCTGATCATAAGTTGATCCTAAGTCCTAAGTTGATCCTAAACCAATCACCAGCCAATCGTAAGAAATCAACAATGCCTCCGATCGCCTGATCCCTGGGCATTGGAGAAATCCCGCCTCTGAAGCGCAGGAACCATGGAAACTGAAGACCGGCACCTGAAGGCAATACATCTTTTACATGCTGGGTGTGATTCCAATATGTGCACAAACTATCCAAATGACTCCCTCTCAAACTCGGAACCTCCCCAAGAAAACACATTGCCGAAATGAAGGACTTTATGTTTGGACTATGTTTGGAACTCCATTTGACGCCTGTTCGAATATCCGTCTTTTGCCACTGTCGGTGCACCCTTTGGACGCCTCCGCAGCAGTGGCCAATCGCGAGATCTTCTCGATGATTTTCAGAAATGCCGCGGGCACAACAGCGACCCAGTCGTCCTCGATACGGTCCATGGCAATCCGTTGCCAAACCAACACGGAACAAAAGCGCCTTTTGGGCCAAGCTGAGTGATGTTGCGCTTAATGTGGCAACCCAAATTATAAACCAGCCCCAATTGGCGTTGATCATTGGCTTACGATGGCTTACGGCTTACCACATAGTTTTCCCAAATGAACTGCTGGAAACCCAACATCTCAGAGTCCTGATCCGACACTCGACCTGAATGATCACCATCGACCCGAAGTACTTGAAGAGTCTTGCCGAAGGTGCCATTGATGGAGACCTCCAAGTTGCCGCCCGTCAAAAGAAATCGCACCAAGTCCTGCAGACATGGAGGGATTGGCGTGAACAAATCAAAGCAACTGGCAACAACCTTTAAAGGGGCTTAGAAGAATAACCATCTCATGTGGGTTCATCATAGTGATCATAGTGTCATGGTGCCTGGCTCTCCCAAAAAATCTGCATCCAGCCTTGCTCTTGGTGGTAAAGCTCGCTTCCCGCGCCACCAGTCGCTTGAATTTTGGCTGGCTCAGCATCCATGGGAACCGCCAGGATCCGTCAGGAGCAACAGGCTGCAAACGGTGTGGCCAAACATTGGGGCCCTAAAGGGCACCCACAAATGGCTGGTATGGCTGGTATCCCACCATCTTATCATCCAGTTGTAGGGATCAAAACATGTACCCAAGGAGTTTTTTGTTTTTTCGAAAAAAAAAAACTACATGTGGCAGGTCTTTGATGGATGTTGGTATGTACGAGTACTGAGTTGCGCCCAATCAAGGCACTTACTTCCATCTGTTGCCAAAACAACTGAATCTGTCGGCTGTGCTTTTGGAAGCCTTGTTGTTTCCTGGCGACGCCATAGCCAAGCAGCAATGAACAGCAATGTTTGCACAACTCTCGGAGAAGCAATTGGTTTGTCACCAGGCTTGCCACTCTGAAAGCGCTATCCGATATCCCAGTTCTCTCGGATCACACATACATTGACATGTATATATCCAGGGTTGCTGTTAACTTTATAGGGCCCAATTTGGGAAGATGTCCATTGCAACTCTGAAACACCAACCCTTTTTTTGGCGGTCGCCGGTGCAGAGCTGCTGTTGCTCTTCTTTTCGACCTGCGCGGCATCCCCTTTGTAGGGAATGGTCCGCCCATCTTCCCGGGTCATATGGTGTCTGAAAATGGAAGATAATATGAGATGATATACACTTTTGATCACTTTTGGATTTTTATAGATACCCTATTTTCAGATCTATATTAGTCACATATTCTTCAGGAATTTCGGTCGAAACTCAGACAGTGGCACCGGTGGAATCTCTAAACAACTCAATTTCTCAAAGAAAACCATCAACGTATTATCTCATACATACTGGCTAAAAGGCAATGATCGTTCTTTCTACCTGTAGAATGGCAATTTGATGCAATTTGAAATTTGATAAACACGAATGGCCTGACTAGTCCTTGAATCCAGCTGGATGGCATTGCAAACTTTTTTCCGTTGAAGGCGAAGTCCATTGGCTGCGCGATGTAGATGTCTCTGGGCAAATGGTGGGGGCCTGAAAATGGAAATATTGATCGACGGTTTCACTATTTTTGGATTTTTTTGGGAAACACCTGCAGTTGTCTGCCAGGCATCGGCCTATCAATTCAAATGCCTATGCACTGAAAACTTGCCACAGCAATCGTGGCAACTATTTCAGTCTAAATTTCACTCTGCACTTCACAACGAATCAGAAGGAGTGTGACCATTCGGCCTGTCTCCAGATTCACTCGTATGCATTGCAATAGAATTTCTACATATTTCATCACAGGGAGCGGCATCGCAGTCTTTCAAATTGAGAGCTGCTTTGAGCTCTTGCGTTGCCTTCTGGGCCTCTGTGAGGAGGGTTGGGAGTTGATCAGAATATTTCGCAACTGCCTCATCATCTTTGTCACATCCACTCCATTCCTGGGCGCCAACCTCGCAGTACTCATTCCATTGGCCATACTCTCCGTACTCTTCCCAGTCGTCCGGTGGAGCTTCGCAGTCCCAATCTTGCCATTGCTCTTCTTGGTGCTGGTACTGGTGGTCGCAGCCGTTCCAAAAATTAGATGCGCCGATTTCGCAGCACTCATCCCATTCTTCATAGTCTTCATAGTCTTCTTCCCATTCCTCCTCAATCTCCTCACCGCAATTGAGCCAAGCACACTCATCACAAACACTGCGCCCGCAAGCGCAGGTGTATTTCAGGACGGAAGCCTTTAACTCTTCACACATGTTGCATCTCCACATCGGAATGGTGCCCTTTTCGATGGTCATGGTCTGTCCACATTCGCATGTAGGGAGATCATCATCGTCACCGCTCACCGACATGTCTCAAGACAGGAGAATTTGGACTGCAAGCTGCAAAAAACATTCCGTGCATTAAGCTGTCTGGCTCACCAGCCATTCGGTTTCAGGGTCTGGGGGCCCGGGAGGTGGCTACATTTGGGTCACTTGTCAACCACAACTGTCTCTTCAGTTGCCCCGATTGATTGTGTGGTTCTGCGCTTCATTGTGCTTGACGGTTGAGCTGGAGTTGTAATTTGGGACAGATGGCGTTTGCTTCCTTGTGTCGTTCTGCGTTGAATGATCTGGATGATATTGTGACTCAGTGTCAATTTTTGGTAGATGACGATCCACGTGCTTGGAAAGGTGATTGCCTTCTTCATCTTGAGGTCGCTTCCCAGTGGCCGACTGAATTTGAAGTGTGGCTTTTAGACCAAGGCTTACCTGCCAATTTCATGCACTTGTCTGGCCCTTGTCGTGAAGTCAAACGTGTTTGTGCTGCTACGCTTCATGTGCCGCAGTTGCCGTGTTGGAGTCTTGAAATTGGTCAGATTTTTGCTTGTCGTGCCAGTCTGTCATTTGCATATGAAAAGCGTGTTGCGACCATCCGGTCTTGTGAGCATATGTGGATTACTGCCTTTGCAGACCCTGTAGGAGTTTTCAACTTTGCTCATTTGTGTTCCGGTGCCTTTCATGGATGGGGTCAGGCTGTTCAGTTCTGTGAAGAAACCATCGTAGGATTTCATGTGGTGTCAAGTGTAGCTGTTGACTCTGATGAACAAATCTGCCGACTGGCTGCTCGCACTTGTGATGCTCAAATAGTGTTTTTTCCCTGGGGATCCATCACCAAGTCGCTCAAACGTAACACCGTGGTTTGCGCTCAGATTGAACAACATGTGTGGATGAGTAGCATGCACAATCCTTGCAACCTTGTTTGGACTGTGTCGACCCCGTGCCAACCTTTTTCCAGCGCCAATCTTACGCCAAGCGGGTTCAATGCCAAGGATGGCAGAGTGGTCGTTCATGTCTTGAAAGCAGCCAGAATCCTCAGGCCAATGGCCTTGTTGATGGAAAATGTGGATGCGTTTCAATCCCATGAGCACTTTAGGATTTTTGAAAGTTTTGCAAAGTGGGCAGGCTATCAGTTGGTTTGGTCGCAAGTGGTCAATGCCAAGGATTTGACTGACAACACCCGTAGCCGATGGCTCGGGATTTTGCTCCGTAATGACCTTGATGACAATCATCCAGTGCTGAAGGCAGCCTTCAATTTGCACGAGGGTTTCGTGAGTCCATGGCATGCTATTGAAAACCAGTTTGCTATTCCGAAGGTGTTAGAGGATGCTCTAATTATCAACCAATGTTTGATGCCTTCGTACGCATGCTTTGAGCTTCTGCCTTGCTGTAAGCGGAATAGATGCGATGAGAACGCCACTAGCAGTCAAATGCTTTTGTTGAGACTGGCCCCAAGAGATCAACCGCTACAAACATGCCTTGCTTCGTATTCCACTCAGCATTTTTTTGCCTTCTTCCACATTGAAACATCAGGGCATTTATGCAGATTTGGTCATTGACTCTCAGGGCAGAGTTGCGTTTCAGTCGCCAGGGATGTGGACTGCTTTGCTAGGAAATAGGATCAACCTGTTCCTCCCGAAAGACCATGAGATGATGTACCAAGTCCTCGGAAATTGTACTGCTCTTCCTCATGCAGGATTGGCAACTTTGCTAGCGATAGATCTTCTCACACAACGCGATGAACCTTTGCCTATCCAATCATTGCTCCTTCAGATGTGGGACTCCAGACTTATTTCCAAGAAAGCTGTGTTTGTCAAAGTCGATGAGGGGTTCGCAATTCTCAAGCCAAGAGATTTCTTGATGACGCGAGATGTCATTAAGAGCGATTCTGTTTTTCATGAAGATGCTGATTGCTTTTGGAAAGTGGTGTGGCCTAACCAGTCCTCATCATGTTTTGGGGTTCGACATGGTACCACAGTGGGAGAGTTGTGCGAATCTTTGGGAATGCAGAAACATGTCATCCCTTTGTTTGGGCTCTGGAGCGAGGATTTGCAGAAGTGTTTTTTCCACCAGGATGTCATTGCTGACAAACGTGCTGAGGTTACGCCTGTGTTTTTGCCATGCAATGATCGGTTTGAGTGTCCGAGTACGGTAGGTGAAGAATCAATCACAGCAACATGGCCAGAATCTCCACAATCAGAATTTGGTCTCAGTCTGCGCACAGTTGTCCATGTAGTCAAGCCTGATGGTGTCGTATGTGATGTTCACTGCGCATTGTATGATTCCATTCAGGATGTTGCGGAGCAGTGTGGCATTGCGCCCGAAGCTTGTTGTGACTTCCTTTTTTTCGATGGGGAGTGTCAGCGTGAGCCTGCAATGCTGCTGGCGCAATTACAGAACATGCACATTGTCATTTCCAAGAGAACCAAACGGAAGGTAGGTGAATCTTTGGTTGTTGAAGTTGTCCTTTTAGGAGGTTCTTCGAAGTTTGTTCAGGCGACCCCCAACTGCCTGATTCGCGATGTGTTGCAGGTTGCCGTTCAGCCCAATGCTTTGATTGATCGAATCTCACCTTCAGTCAACGGGAAGCTCGTTTCTCTGGATACAAGGGTTGGTGAAATTGAAATTCCTTTGATTCGTTTGAGAGCTTTTCCTCTTCCGGGAGGGGGCAAAGGAAATGGCAAAGCACAAGGAAAAACAAATTCAAGTGACTTTTTGCAGCAGAATGATCCTTGGGCCAAGATTGTCCCATCGAATGGTGGATGCCGGTGGGATCAGCTTCAGTTGATGGAGAACCACCCATGGTTTTGCAAAGACACTGGCAAACGTCTTAACCAAATCCCCGGGGTCCAGCTGGGGCCCGACAAAGGAGGAGTGGTCTTTGTCACTAAGGCTGATCTTCATGAGCTCTCACAAGCAGCCCCATCATCAACGACCTTGTTGCTGATCCCAGGTTTTCGAGGGTTGCAGAATCTCGATGTTCCCAAGAATTTGATGATGCTGGCATCACAGCAAATTACGGTTAGGGAACCTGCTTCGAATGTTCAGTACAAGCGACTTGTTGTTCCTTTCGTGCTGAAAGGAAATGTGGAGTACAAAGTTGAAGAAACACCAGGTGTTGTCAATGTTGATTCTGCTAGCTTTTCCGAACTGGTTGTTGAAACGCATTCAGGTTGCATGACGCACAATACTGTTGCGATGATGGAGGATCACCCTCTGGGTTGCTTCAAGAAATTGATC